GTTAGTTCAAAACATACCCTTATAATTATGTTATTCCCATAATACCCATTGACGTGGGTCCCAATGACAGAAACAGAAGAGAGAGAACAGTTTTCGGTTCCCTAGGAAAAAATTTAAATATTTTAAAATTTTTAAAACTCCCTCCACCACAAAAAGTTAAATTTTTCGCGTAAATTTTAAAATTTTTCGGTGTGACCAGTATGACCAAGTGACCAGTGTGACCAGTGTGACCAAAACTAAATTTTGAACGGTGTGACCAGTGTGACCAAAACTAAATTTTGAACGGTGTGACCAGTGTGACCAGAACTAAATTTTACGGTGTGACCAATGTGACTAGTGTAACTAGTGTGATCAATATGACTAATATGACTAGTGTGACCAAAACTAAATTTTGAACGGTGTGACCAGTGTGACTAGTGTGACCAGTGTGACCAGTGTGACCAATGTGACTAGTATGACCAATGTGACTAGTGTGACCAGTGTGACCAAAACAAATTTTAAACGGTGTGACCAGTGTGCAGGGGCGGATCCACGTATAGACCAATGGGGTCCCATGCCCCCCCTAAAATTTTTAATTTGTTTATAATTTTTTAAAAATTTTGATAAATAATATAAGAGGCCCCCACTAAAATTTTACCTGTGCCCCCTCTTCCCACTCTTTTGTTTTTTTATTTCTCTTTTTTTAAAAAAATTAAGTTACGATGTTGTCTTTTTTTTTCAACTGTTTTTTAATCTTTCTCTCTTAATTCTCAAAAATATTATGTATAAATCTAATATTAAAAAACAATTAAATTAAAAATATTTAAGTTTTATTAAAGGAAAGTAATATGTTAGTATATCAAATCTATTTCTAATTGATTGTAATCTTGTATAATCTTGTATTATTGAATCTCTCTTAATTGTATCTCCTTAGATATAACAACTTCTTCATGTATATATTTTGTATTACACAATTGAATAAATGTGAGATCATATTATTCTTTTCATTTATGACTTTTAAATAATTCTATTTTTTATTTATTCATCAATTTCTATATTTTGATGATACTCGCAAATTTATTATTATATATATATATATATATATATATATATATTATTTGACTTGATAAAAAAATAATAGATAAATTGATTAAGCTAAACAAATATTAGAAGATCTTATCAATAACGTGATAATGATTTTTAAAAATGATAATAGAAAATAAATTAAAATAATTTAATTTCGGCTGGTTTGATTAATATATTAATTGATTTTATTTGTTGACACTACGATGGAAGATGTTTTCCATTAACAAAATTTGTGAACATAGCTCTAAACAATCATATTGGTGATCAATTTTTGAGTGATTGCAGTTTATTTTATTGAAAAATATATTTTTTAAACAATTATAAATAAAAGTTATTATGAATATATTTAAAAAATAAAGAATTATAAAATTTAATGATCAAATATAAATATTTTTTTATAATATATTTTTATTAATTTTATTATATATTTATTATAATTATTGCCCTCACTCATAATTTTTTCTGGATCCGCCACTGCCAGTGTGACTAGTGTGACCAGTGTGATCAGTGTGACCAGTGTGACTAGTGTGACCAATGTGACCAGTGTGACCAAAACAAATTTTAAACGGTGTGACCAGTATGATTAGTGTGACCAGTGTGACCTCTGTGACCAATGTGACTAGTGTGACCAGTGTGACCAAAATTAAATTTTAGACGGTGTAACCAATGTAACGTACCTTTGTCAATATGTTCCATTATTGTTCCAAACATTTATTTGGCATTAAATATGCGCCTCTTGCATATTCTTCGACAGATTTGCTATGCATCTATCTCATTTTCATAAAAAAAATACACGATTCACTCTAAAAATCATAAAACTCAAACCCAAAACACAAAGTTTATGCATCGAACCAATCTCTTGTATTAGTGAATTACTTACCTTCAGTTTTTGTCATTTGTTCTGTCTTAGACCGACTCAAGAAGAAGATATGAGGTCGTCAGTGAGGATATGCTCAACGAAATAATCATTTTTCGTTTGTTTTTCTATGTATACAAATGAAATGAGAAGGGAAAAAATGAAAGAGTTGAGAGAAATATAAGAGTAGAGAGAGAAAGTTAAGAAAGAAATGAAGAGTTATCAAAGAATGAAAACGAGAGAGATGAATTCAAAATGAAGAGAGGAATATCACGTTACTTTTGTGAGAGGTTTAATTATGTCTTTTGTTTCTTTTATTTTTTTTCCAAAATTTTAGGGTTTTGGAAGGTAGTCCGTGAAGTCTATGTAGCAAAGTAAGGGTATTTCTGCTATATTGCCATTAGAATTGGTTGTTGTACGAAAATAATTATTATTATATTTAAATTCTAAATTCTAAATATATTTTATGGACAAAACGGGAAAAGAAGAGAGAAGTGAAAAGTGATAAGAAATATGGACCGTTGATCACGGGACCAACAGTGACGTGGACCGTCCATCAACAACAGTACTCGCCCGAAACGACAACTGTTGATGTCGTACAGCTCCCGTCGGTGCCCAATTCAGCAGCTACGACGTTTTTTTGTCAAAACATAGTAAAGATATATACGATAAGATCATACTTTAAAAAAATATCGCCTAACAAAAAAAGTAAATAATGATATCGATATTGTTATTATATATGGATGATTAATTTCATTCGACCGTTTGCGGAGGGTACAATGTATAGATGAGCGTTCAATATTCATTTATTGAAATAAATTTAATAGATTTTTGTTATTGTTCGACAGATTGTATCTTGTATAATTTAGAATGTTTAATGGTATTAAAAGAATGATAGAAGGATAAAGAAGAAAATCGGTTTCTGATTTTCTTTTATTTTATTTGGATTTTGAAATAAGTTTGATATGTAGCTAATGGGTTTGTTTGTATATAGCGAAATTCTAATGTTTCAATTCTAATATACGCAATAATATTCCACATCATGAGATTTGTGAATTTCTAATATATTTTTTAATGCGACTTTTAAAAATTGAATCAAAATAATATATTATTGTTATTATTATATCAATTATCATAATTTGTTTTATTATTTATGGATAATAATTCTTAATGATTATATATGTGGTTAATATCGTTTTCAAGTGGATTTTTAAAATAATCTATCATGTTTTTCATATATTTATGGTTTAATAAAATGTAAAAAAAAAATTAAAAAAATTTCGTAAGCTTTACAAAAATAATAAATTAGAAATCAAGATACATATTTTCACCTTCTTAGATCATACTAAAAGTTATCTCGTTTATGGAAAAAAATATATCATAAATTTGGAAGCTTGGTATTCAAGAGTCCCTCCACACACGTTTCTAAAGCATTCTTTTCCGTAAAACATTTGTTTTCTATTACAAATATATACACTCATTCACTCATATATATATATATAATTGATTCAAGTATTCAAATATGGCAATATTTATTCTCAATCTTCATTTTTATAATAAAAAAAACATTGGATAACATAGATATCAATAATATGAACAAATGTTGACAATATATATATGGATATATGTGTGTGTGTGTGTGTGCACAAATACACAAAAAAAATGATGTATTATTTTGTTGGTATTATCAGTTTTCGTTTTGATTAGGAAACATCCACCGAGCTACAACTACAATGCTCCATGATTGGTGCTTATGGAATGATATTATACCAAAATATAATTAAAAAAATATTTCATTAGCTTTTGTATACATATATATAAATAGTATGAAATCCAGAATGTGACACTTCTATTATTCTACAAAAAAAACATTGAAAATAACACAAATACATTTTTCTCCGGTACACGTCATCGGCAAGGCTAAGAAATCATCTGAGATTTTTTTTTAAAAATACAGTAATGGAAGGAAATCGCATAGAAGTAAATTGGATTAATTAGTGATTCCTTTTAGTTAATTATCCAGTTTTTATTTTTTGTTCTTTCATTTATGTATGGTGGGGTGGGTTAGGGTAATAGGGTATGGGTGAAAGTGTCCAAATCGTATCGAATAAAAAAATACGGTATTTTTTTATTCGAATTATCTAAAATATTGAAACGATATTTTTTTTAAATCGAACTAAATAAAACCGAATTTTTAAAAAAATAAAAAACTGAATTTTTTCTAAAAATATGTAATTTGTTTAATAAAAATCCAAAATTGAAATAAACCGAAAATAAAATATTAACCGATTGATATAAATTTTTATAAAATGGAAAAAATCGACCCAAATCATATGTGAACTTTGATTGCCACCCGGTTAATTAAACAAAGGTATATCATGCGTGAGATATAAAAACAGACATGCTCTGCAGCTGTTGTTGTGTCCTTGCCTCTTTCTTCTTCTTCTTCTCCTTCGTAGTTCAACTGCTCCTGTTTTGTTCTCTCCGTTGGTCTGATCATGTAATTAATAGATTTGCTGTTCAAATCAGACATAGAAGATAAAAGGTTCGACCTTTTCTTCCTACTTTTTCATCAAAGGTGAGATTCTCCTGATAGAACAACAAAACCCAGATAGAATAATTCGCCTTTTTACCAGAAAAAGAAAAGCCAAGAGAAAAAAAAAACAGGGAGAGAGAATCTGAAGATTCGACGTAAAAAAAAAAAGGGTGTTGTCTTTCTCTTCGTTTCCTGGCGATTTTCGTGTGTGCTCTTTCGAATTTGGAATCAAGACGACAGGTCTTTTGTTTGTCGTTTAAAAGGTTCAGGAGGAAGGGGAAATGAGAGAGAGAGACCGTGGGTCTTGTCCTCGAGAAGCAAATTAGGGATTTTGTCTTATCTTGGGGGGCGATGATGTCTATGCCGTGAAACCCAACAAAGAAAACACTCTTCCAGCCGGGAATCGAACCCGGGTCTGTACCGTGGCAGGGTACTATTCTACCACTAGACCACTGGTGCAATGTGGTGGAACAACAACATTTTTCAGTGAACAAAAATATGAACGTTTTCCTCTCGTCGCTTTTGACTTCATGGCCATTCACGTCTCGTATGGTACTGCAGTCAATTATGAGAACCCTCTTTCCAAAGTTTTATTCAAGATCTCAATACTCATTGATCGATATCCTACGGTGAATCTATATGCATGTCACTGTACCCACCCAATATCTACTGACAAAGTGTGAGATACAAAGGAGACTCCAATTAAAACTGGGATGAGTGGGATGGTTTCTGAGGAAATCTGCAGTAGTTTGATCCTCTTGCCCTAACGCCTCTCAAAGCATTGGAAGCAAACCTCAAGGCAAAAACGGCGGCACCCAGGTTGAGTGTTGTTCCTTGACGTTGGCCTTCTTCTTCTGGGCATATAGAAAGCTTCCTTCTTTTGTGTATCCTCCATGCTGCTTGTATGTAACATGCCGCCCATCTCCTCCATTGAGCCGAATGGTACCTGAAAACAGAGCCAGGGATCTTTAGAATGCTCTTCGCAGGTTTGATCGTGTGAATTTAACTCTGAATGCTGTCGTTATCAAGTCTTGCCTGAACACGCTCTTGAATCTCCTGCCATGGAAACTAGTGTAACGAGTAACAACAAATTTTAGATCATCAGCTGACAGAACAAAGCCTTCAACATCGGTTATAGCCTGTATCTCACTGTCCGAGATGGGAAGATGAGAGGATTTGCGACTTAGAGCCCATTCAAGTAGTTCTTCACAACAGAAGTCACCAGCCCTGAGGCGATATGAACTGAAACTCGCATTGCCTCTCAGTATAAAAAGCATATCCTCAATCGGGTCACCCTTACGCACAATGTAGCTGTTCTTCGTGTAAAACACTGGCTTCACTAGCACACATAGCGCTTCCAGCTGCCGGATATCCAGAACCCCGAACAAAGGAACCTGGAAAAATTTCAGATAGTTTGGTGAAACTTGATCAATGGTAAGCGTGAATGTAAATTCAGAGAATAATGCCATACCCTCCTGAGCAAGTCGAGGCCAAGATGGTGTTTGGTGTCCCGTTTGATGTCTTTAGGAAGGCTAAGAAGAAGAGATTCTTCCTCAACTCCTCTGGTTTCTCTCCATCTGTACTGCTCATATCTCCTAATACGCTCTCTCAGCTCATCTGGCAGCGCCCTATGAGACATCCATTTCTCTGTGTCTCTACGTTTCTCCTCCATCTCCTCTGCTCTAACTGTTGTTGATTGTAAGTACTTCTGTTGTTCACAAAAAAAAAAGGGATCTTTTTTTAAGCAAAATCATGTTTTGCTGCTCTAATCTCATTACCTCAAGCTTGTGAAAGACATAAAGAACTCTGGGCACTACCTGCATATTGCCGATGAACAGAGCAAACAAGACTAACCCAGATACACAGATTACGAGAGCAAAGAGGATATCCCCAACAAAGCCGCCCGTCTTCAGGTTTTGGCCCAAAGCACTATATTTGTAAAGAAGATCCATGTCTAAGTTAATACAAACAACACCTTCCAGACCAGATTTCAGCTTTGATGAGCAGACAAACTCTTGTCCGCTTGGGCTTTGATTAGAGATTCAAAGCTAAAGAGTTAGGATATACAGACCTAAGATTGCGGAGACCCCACCAAAAGCAGTGGAGAAACTTCCTGGGGAAATTCCTTGAATCGACAAGACCAGACTGAAGTGCTTCAGTGAACATCCCAAAGTTGAACACTGCGGGGTCGGTGATTTGGTCGGGGTCGATTAATGGGCATGACCCGTTTAAGAAACGACCATTGTCCCCAACAGCTTGAGCACAGTAGAGATTTGCATGAACGCATCCGGGTATCTTGGCACATTCGAAACGCCAACACATGTCTTTCCTTTCTATGGAGATCAAGTACCAGTAAGCTCCAATCACCTGATCATATCAAAGTGTTGTCTTTAACGATTCTTGTTCCAATGTCACAACATGATCAGGAGAGCAAAGACTTACATTACTTGCTAGCATGTAGAGGAGGAGATTCAAAGCAGCTGCTGCCCACTTCGTCTCTGTCACTCTACCGGAATCTCTTGTTACTTGTTCGTAAAGAGGATAGATTCGGATGCTTCGGGGTACGTATTGACAGACTAGAACCCATTTCAGCATCTCCTTGGTCACCAACGATGTAAGCCTCGACCTTGGAGTGATAGACAGAACAAGAACCTGCAAGAATTGGAATTTCATCACTCTCTGCTCAATGGAAACCATCGTGAATGTCATGAGGAAGAGAACACACCCACCTGGGGGACAGGGAGAAGAGAGAGAATGTCAATCATCAAGTAGAAAAAGCGATGTCCTTTAGCTGCTGTAGCGGTAGAATCAACGAGCATTTCTCCTCTAAAAGATACTTGACAAGGAGCTCTTAAATAAAACAAGATGTGAACCATATACAAGGCATCGAGAATGGTTCGGATAAGACAAGCTGTTATAGCTGGATACTTGTCCAAAGCCAGACAGAATCTGTCCCGTTCGAATACAGGAATATACAGAAACAGAGGATCAAATGCCAAAGCAAACACGCAAACTATCAGGAAAACCCTCTTCCAGTTCCGCAGATGCCAATCTCGCGAACGTTCTCCAGTTACAGAAGACCCCATTGAAGTTCTCTTCCGAACGAATCGATGCGCAACATAAAAGGAGAGCGGATTCTTACCAGGAGGAAAGAACCAAAGGAGAAATGGGGACAAGAACAGGAGCTTTATCCACGATCCAATTATAGCAAAATCTGAGAGTTAGGGTTAACCAATGGCGTAAAAGACGTTGGCAGCTCGGGAAACCAGGGGCGAGAGTTGGAAAGGGAAGAAGGGAAAAGCTGTTGATTCCGGACACGTGTCGCCGTCTTGGATGCGTAGATGACGCGTATCGAACATTTAAGAATACATTTCATTGGTCAATAGGGAACAGCGTTTTAGTTTGATTTTTTTAACCGTACAATACGGTGATTAGATTTGTTTTAAGTGGCAAGCAAGTCAGAAGATCTAGGGGCAAAGACGTAAATTCCAACTTCATCTTTTGATTGGATCATCAAGCATCATCATCAACACATCAGTCAAGCGGCCCCCCGCCCCAGAAAAACAAACCGATAACCGGATACCGGCTTGCTTAATCGTAACCTAACCGGTAACTCACAGTGCACAGACTTGAACCGGGAAGAAGTCGTGATAACATTCATCAGTACTAAACCGATTGAATTGAAGTAACCGAACCGGTCACTGAAACCAACCCCTACAGCATAATGAATGAAGACAGAGGTTTACAAGAAAGGGAGCCAAATTCTAACATAGAAACCCTACTCCATAAAGAACTGGAGATAACTTAAGACAGATGAAACTCTCAATTCGTGTTCTAGGCAATCACAAAAATGGAGTTCCTTTATGGGTGAAGACCATATATAATACAACATGAATCTTGTTGGCCAATACCAAATGAACAAAGGCCAATAATCAAAGCATGGGGAAGGTTTGAACAAAAGAGATGGATCAGGGAATGAGGCAGCCTTGGCAACAGAAACAAGCAACCAAAATACCGAGCACTGCTCCAGCAAGAACCTGCGAAGGAGTGTGGCCGAGCAGCTCCTTTAGCTTCCTCTGACTGATGGGGTGCCCCTCGAACAAATCCCTTATGATCAAGTTCAGTACCTGTTTCCACATTCACGGTTATGCATCTGAAAACTTCACACACCCTTTTCTTTTCCCCAGATAAAAGGGTTTCACTCTCTTGGCTTCATCGTAGGAGCAGATTCATTTAAACCTCGAATCTTTCGAAATACAACAGAGAGCACTACAGAAGTGGCAGTCCACCCATCTATTGGTACTTGATGCTCATCAGCTTATTCTTGGACCAACACTAATGAATGAAGTGTATCAAGTTCATAATAATCTCAGCCATGCAGAAAATTGCACTACAAGCCCTTATGAAACTGAAATCTGACACAATGTGGTGGAAACAAGACCTGGCCTTTGCATATACAACTTCCACAAGCAACCCATGAATTCACCAACTTTGTTTTAACTTAGAACCGGATAAAATAAAGATTGAGCTAAAGAGCTTGGAGCAAAATTAGCCACCAAATTAACATTTTTTTAGTGTGTGAGAACTATGATTATCAGTGTTCCTACATGAAACAGAAAGACAAAACCAAAGAAAGGAATATTGGTACAAGCAGCATTTTCATGATTTGGCCAACCATCCTCTCCCCTATTTGTACGAACTCGTACATGGAGTCTCACGTAAATTTCGACCAGAAATCATTACCAACTCCTCCATTATGAGATAGTAACCAATAGCTGAAGCTCGAAAGTTCAGAACTCGAATGCTTGACCACAGTCATTTGACGAAAATGAACATGAACATGAACATGACCCAGCGAAACAAAAGGACACCAAAATCAGACAGAAAGCCAAACCGATGTCTTTACCTCAGCTTGCATGCCGGCGTGGCGTCTGACGCCGATGGCATCGTACATGACGATTAGACTAAAGCCCAAGCAGACGGGAAATAACGAATCTGCCACTCCATGGCAGAGAGCCACGGAGGTCGTCAGAGCCATACAGAGAGCCGAATGAGACGAAGGCATTCCCCCAGAGGCGAACAGTATCCGGAAATCCCATTTTCTCTCCACGAAGAAATTAAGAAACACTTTGATGGATTGAGCTACAAACCACGCGACGAGACCCGACACGAACGTCGGGTTAGCCGCGAGAGTCGCCACGAAGGGACTGATCTTAACCTTGGCACTCGCCGTCACGCTCAGGAGCGCCGTACCGAATCCGCCGTGCTTCTCCCAATCTCCGGCGAACTGCTCCGAGAACGCCGCCGTGTCGTCCCTGTAAGCTTGAGAACGGGAGACCCATCTCTGGGATTGAGACGAAGCGAGCCCCTTGATTCTCCGAAAGATTGAGCGCAAAATCAAATAGGGGTTTATTCGTAGAATACGATTCGTGCCGTAATCAGGCTGAGGGCATATGGGATTGGAATGGGGTTTACAGCAGAAGGAGACGGTGGAAGCTTCGAATCTGTTGATAGAAGTTAAAAAGAGAGGAGATGGGTAGAAAGAGGTGAACGTGGGTTTCAACGTAAGCGAGTCCATGGGAGATCGCAGAGAAGCTTCAGCTCATACTGCGTCATCCAACAGAGAGAGCGAGAGAGAGGGGGGATGGATGTGTGTGGAGACTTGGCGAAGAAAGATTGGCGTCCGTTTCTGTATGCGTATTTTTTTGTTTGTACAGTTTCTTTATTTGAATTGGTATCATTGAAGATCAACTTTCCCTTTGTCTCCTAAAACAATCCATATATATATATATATACACAATAACAAGGATTTTATTGCAAACTTTTTGCCTTTTGTAACACAATCAGTATTTGTATGGTAGTCTAACCAAGCAAAAGAATATTAGAAGTCGTGTGGTGGAGGAAGAAGTGTAATTTCTTTCCCCCCAATATTACAAAGATGCCATTGGAGTACCTTGGAACAATCAGGGAATATACCCACCTTGTTGAATTCAAAAAATTCAAGACTCTTTTGAGTATGTGTAGACCGCTCCCTGATCCAAATGAAATCCAATGCCCATGTATTAATAATATTTGGGTTTTGGGCCTTCTCAAAAAAAAAAAAAAAAAAATGGTAGAGGCCTTGAGTCATTCTTTCTTTATATTCATTGGACCTCTAAGATTGAGAACAATCTACAACTAAAATAAAAAAATAAAGTACAGAATGGAGGTGCGGGGAATCGAACCCCGTGCCTCTCGCATGCGAAGCGAGCGCTCTACCATATGAGCTACACCCCCAGTGGTTGGAATTAACTTCTCCTCGAGCCACGCGCCACACTTTCGTCTTCACGCGTATTAGGGTTTCATTAACCCCCGGGATGAAACGCTGCGTTTCGGGTTAAAACCCGAAACCTCCTTCCCAAAGGGAAGGTTCACTTTCTTCTGCCAACGGGCCTTAAGGCCCAACAATCTCCACCTTGGTGGAGAAAGAGCCGGAAATAAAACAATAAACACTAGTGGAATTCGCCGTTTCCAGCACCGATCGACTTTCGTCGATCCCTCGACTTTCGTCGGAATTTAAAGCGTAACTTACCTGACTTACCTCACTTACCTGATGTCGCGGAGTTAGTCACATGTCGCCCTCAAGCTTCCCGTCGATGACTCCTCGTGGCCTCGTCGCCTTATCCCCGCCACCGATCAGCTCATCTCTACCTGAAACACTCGGTAAACGTGTTAGAACGTTCACCCCGATAAGACTCGAACCGTAGTCCTATCCCGCGTTGCCCGACCGGCAAACGCTACCCTCGGTTGTATGACTCCCTAGACCGTCAACTAACCCTCCTAGTAAAGTCCAAGACTATACCCGCTAGCTAACCTGAGGATTACACCCGACGTCTACCCGTCTCCTAAGTCTATCCTGACTTCTCCCGAGACTAACCTGAGTCATACTACCGAAACCCGCTAGATACCTAGCCCGGATCCCCGTGAAGTCTATACTACCTATAGGTATACGACTTCTACCCTCGGACCCTAACCTGCCAACTAGAATTGTCCCACGGTTTTATCCCGTGAAGCGTTCCTAGTCATCTACGATGCTCCACCGAGAATAAGAGACACGTGAGTGCACGTGCTCCACCTCGAGAGGGAGTGTCCTAGCGCCAACCTACACCGACTCTACCCGGTGACCCGACACCTCCCAGCTCACATCATCTCCTGAGCATCCTACCCGAGGAAGCTCCACCTAAATGTGGAGACCTCACCTCCTGACCTACCACCGAGAACCGAAGCAGCTTCGATTTACTCCTCCGAGGTCATATGTCCTTCTACCTCGGACTCTCCCTTCCTCGTCATCCGGGATCTACATATCCTCCATGTAGTATCCCTACCTACCCGCGGAACAACTCACTCCACCTGGTCCTTGGCCTACTCCTGCAAACCGATTTCTCGGGTTTTGCCCGAGAACCCTAGTCCTTCCACCACCCCTTTCGGGGTATACCGAGCTAATCTAACTCCATCATCCTAAGACGATATAACAAGAGTCTAAAACCGACCCTACCCGGAAGAGACTTAACCGACCCTAGGAGTGATGTAACATGACACGAGGGATGAGACCGAACCCTAGAGGACTTAACCCTAGGTATATTTCTACCTAGCCGTGCTTAAACACGCTCTAACCCTA